ACATGGTAAAAGCAAAAAAAAAAAAAAAAAAAACGAGGGATGTGTTTCTATTTGAAGAAAAAAGTCATCTTTCCACTTAGATTTTGGAAACATCTCATTCCTTCCTTCAAAAATATCATATCACATCAGGCATGGTGGTGCATACACGCAATCCCAGCTACTCAGGAGGCTGAGGCAGGAGGATTGCAAGTTCTAGGCAATCCCTATCTCAAAATAAAAAATAAAAAGGGCCGGGGATGTGGCTCCGTGGAAGAGCAACGGCAGAGCATGTGGGTTCAATTCTCAGTAATGCAAAAGTTCTATCAATCCATCAGGTATCCACATAAAATAAGCCAGGCAGGGTGGTATGCACATGCCTCTAGTCCCAGCTACTCAGGAGGCTGAGGCAGAAGGATCACTTGAGCCATGAGCTCAAAGCCAGCCTGGGAAACCCAGCAAGACCCCACCTCAAAAAAGAAGATAAGAGACAACCAAGTTTTTCATTTGGCTTTGTTTGCATTCAAATTAATGAATTGTTAAATGTAACTTGTCTTAAAAAAAAACAGATAATTAAGTAAACAAATAAATGAAATGATTTCAAGAGAAAAGTTGTTTGTGTGTATTTTTAGATGTTACATCCAGCTGAGACACCGGCTGAGGAGATAACAGGAACCTAGAAGGGTCTTAATTGGAGGGATCTACTGCCGTGCTTATTGCTTAATATTGATTACTATTTACACTCCAAGGGAAATCTCTCCTGTTATTATCAAGTCCCCAGAGCGTGGGAACAAGCTCACATTATCTCAAGGAGGGGTCTTTATTTAATAGTAGTTTTTGTAATTCCACTTCCCACACGAAGAGTGTGATGAATAATTCATAATCATGTCTTCAGAACTAGGAATGACCCTGGAGACTCACAGGCCACAGGCAACAATATAGATTTCACTGTTTCCAAACCTCCTCACAGTGTGGCTGTCCAGAGCCCTCTCCCTGCTCAGAGGAGAAGAGATTTTGTCCAGTCAGCAACATCTGCCTTTGCTCTAGGCCCGACCTAGTTTGATCTCTCTATTTTACAGTCTAGAAATGCCCCCCAAAGAAGCATGAAATTCATACAATTAGTCAATAGCGCAGCAAGGATTGTAAATTCAGGAATTCAGAGGGAAGGCTTTCTCTCTCTCTTTCTTTTGTGTTTTGTTTTATGCTGAGGATTAAACCCAGGGGCACTTTACCACTGAGCTACATCCCCAGTCCTTTTTATTTCATTTATTTATTCAAAGTGTCACTTTTATTTTACTTATTTATATTTTGGGGGAGGGGATACCAGGGATTGAACTCAAGGGCACTCCACCACTGAGCCACATCCCCAGCCCTGTTTTGTATTTTATTAGAGACAAGGTCTCACTGAGTTGCTTAGCACCTCACTAAATTGCTGAGGCTGGCTTTGAACTCTCGATCCTCCTGCCTCTGCCTCGCAAGCTGCTGGGATTACAGGCTTGCGTGCACCCAGCCTCATTTATTTATTTTTGAGGCAGTGTCTCTCTAAGTTGAGGCTGACCTCGAGCTTGCTCTTGCCATCCTCCTGCCTCAGCCTCACAGGTCTCCAGGATTGCAGGTGTGTGCCACAGAGCCAATCGAGAAGTTGTTTTTGAACAAAATCTCTCCTCTTTGTCCCCACACTCATTGTTCTAAAGTCTTGTTCCCAAACCCCTCTCAGATACTTTCCTTCCATCTCAATTCCACTAATCCTGCCTACTTGTCCCAAGTGCCTTAGATTTTCTACCCAACCCTAATATCCACCTCTACTTCAATCCATCTTGGATCTGAAACATTGCCAGACAATTGCAAATCACAACTATGATGCTGTCACTTTAAAGCTTAAATTAAACACGTCAATGCTCCAGTGCTCTCCTTATTCTAATGCCGGGTGACACTGTGCGTCCACCCTTTTACTCATTCCCCGAAGCTCCCCTCCCAGGTGGCAAAACCCTACATCCTTTGACCTGGTGAAAGCGTTAGTCATCTGAGAAGGCTTCCATTCTCCCCTCTTCCTAGTGGTCATTCCCTGAGAGCAGGGACCACCCCATCCCATCTAAATCTGCTTTGATTTCCCCCAGGTTCGGCAGAGGAGGCGCTCCACTAGCAAGTAACATGAGAGGAGAAGTTGGCTTGGAATTCCCTGCACCTCCACAGCAAGGTGCCCAGGCACTCAGCGACCGGGCGCAGATTCCAGATGTAGGGTGACAAGTTCAAGACCAGCCTAGGCAACTCAGGGAGACCCTGTCTCAAAATGAAAATAAACAGGGCTGGGGATGTATCTCGGAGGTTCATGAAGGGGAGAAACTTATCCCAAGTTCAGTCTCCAGTCCCAAAAATTAAAAAAAAAAAAAAAAAAAGATGCAGATCTGGAACATGACCTCACACGTAACCTAAAATGCGGGAAATAAAAACTTCAGGGCTGGGGATGCAGCTCAGTGGGAGAGCGTTTGCCAAGCATTCTCGAGGCTCCTGTTCCACCCTCAAACACACACTCGCGCGCGCACACACACACACACACAGTATGTGAAAACTTTTGTGCACAGCTTTTTATCTAAGCATTATTTACAGCAGTGAAAACCAAAAGCACAGGAGATCCCACATTAATGGGGTGGTGAATTATTTACAGCACGTGTAGCTGATGATGGGGAGGCAGGCCCCGGAAATGGTGTTTGTGGGAAGCTCTTAGTGTCACGAGAAAGTGCTTATGATTCGAGGGGAAGGGGGAAGAGCCAAGTGAGATATCTATGTGCCAGAACATCTCATCCACACCAAACGCGCATTGAAACAGATGGGAGAAGTGATCATGGATGATCAGATTGGGGACAGTTGTTTTTTGGGAATAAACCCATGATCTCATGCATCCTAAGCAAGCATAAACCTTAAGATGAATTTTTACATGAAAAGTTACGGAGTTTGGTGTATGCCTGCCTCTATATGGCCACCACTAGATAAAGATGTAGCACATTTTCATCACCCCAAAACTTCCCTCTTGTCTTCAGTTAATACTCGCCTACCTGCATGCTGACTTTCATCACTGTAGATTAGGGTTTTTTTTCTAATATTGAACTTTGTGTAAATGGAGTCATACAAAATATATTCTTTAGTGGTGCCTGACTTCTTTCACTCAGTCTAATGTTTTCTGAAAGTGTTCCATTTTAGTGGCAATGCTTGTTCTTTTTTTAAAGGTGAGCAGTATTCCATTGTATTAATTTGCCATAATTTGCATATCCATTCTCTTATTGATAGACATTTTGGTTGTTTCCAGTTTGGGGCTTTAATGAATAAAGCATCTGTAAGTATTCATATACAAACCTTTTTGTGCATATATACATTCATTTATGAGTACAGCCATCCCTCAGCATCGGTGGATGATTTGTTCCAGTCCTCCCCCCTGGATTCTGAAACTCATAGATGTTCAATTCCCTTGTGTAATACAAAATCTAAGTAACCCTCTGTATGCCTTAAATCATCTCTAGACTATTTATAATACCTAATGTGATGTAAATATTATGTAAACAGTTGTTACCCTGTGTCATTTAGGGAATAATGACAAATTCATTCATGTTCCATACAGACACAATTTTTTTTCTTTTTGAATATCTTTGATTCTTGATAGGCTGAACCTAAAGATGTGGAACCTTTGGATATGGACTACAAATATCCAGAAGCAGAATTCCTGAACACTAAGGTACACATATGTTTAACTGGGTTAGAAATTGCCAAACAGCTTTCCAAAGTAGTAGCATAGTTTCATCCTCCACTAGCCTCGTTTATTTTTATTGATTCTGCAAAGTCTGTAGTCATATCTCGTGGATTTAATTTGAATCTCCCTAATGCATAATGATCCCAAGGATCTTTTCCTATGCTTTATAGCCTTTCAGTTTCCCTTTGTGTTGTGATGATCTATTGCTCATTTTCCAAGTGAAATTTTCTTTTTATTAGTAGTAGTTGCTAGGAGTTTTTTTTAAAAAAAAAATGTGTACACATGCTCCTCAAATTACAATGGAGTCACACCCTGATAAATCCACCATAAGTTGAAAATATTGTAAGTGAAAAATTCATTGACTCCACCTGCCCTGCCAGCAACCTGGCTCAGGAGCACAGCCCGCTACAGAGCGTCCGTTGATCTTGTGGCTGACGGGGCTGCGGTTCACCGTCCTGCCCAGGATCCAGAAGGCAGAGGGTGGCTTGGGCAAAGATCAGAATTAAAGTATGATTTTCATTGACTGCATGCTGCTTTTGTGTCTTCTTAAAGTCAAAAAAATCTTTAAGTTAAACCTCTGTTAAGTTGGGGACTATCTGTATTTTGGATATGTCCTTTGTCAAACACACCGTCACACGTCACTTAACAACAGAAATGCATCCTGAGAAACGTATCGCCTCTTGTTTTTATCACTGTGCAAACAGCACAAACTAGAGAGTCCAGGCCCATCACTCCATGTGTCCTCTGATGTAATTAACAGAGGCCACAAACACAATTTCCATGATGTTAGTGCATAAAAATGTTAATTTTTCTTTTATGCTGGGGTGTAGCTCAATGGTAGAGCTTGCCTCACATGCATAAGACCTTGGGTTTTATCCCTAACACTGCAAAAAAAAAAAGCCCATATATTTTATATATGTATAAATTTATATATAAAACATACAAATTTTGGCTGGGGATGTGGCTCAAGCGGTAGCGCGCTCGCCTGGCATGCAAGCAGCCCGGGTTCGATCCTCAGCACCACATATAAACAAAGATGTTGTGTCCACCGAAAACTGAAAAAAAATATATTAAAAAATTCTCTCTCTCTCTCTCTTTAAAAAAAATACAAATTTATATATACTTAAATTATATGCAAATATGTTTGTATATTATATTATATTATTATATATTATATTATTATTGTATATTATATTATTATATTTATTTTATTTATACATATATTTATTTTTATAAACATAAAATACATAAACCAGTAACACAGCTGCTCGCCACTACCAAGTATCATGCACTGATGTTTATTGCATGTGCTGTACTTTTACATGACTGGCAGCAGAGTCTGTTTACACCAGCATCATCACAAGCTCTTGAGTTATGCATTTTGCTTCAATGCTGTGACAGCTATGATGTCACTAGGTGATAGAAATGTTTCAGCTCAATTATAATCTTATGGACCACCACTGTATGTGTGCTCCATCGTTGACCGAAATCTCACCGGGCAGCCCAACAGGCCTTTTCTCCAAGTCTACCTATTTTCTTTGCTGTATCTTTTGAGGGGCAGACATTTTTAATTTTAATCAAGTCCCCTTTTCAATTTTATGTTCTATGCATTTGTAACTTATCCAAGAAATACTTTCCCATTATGAAAAGCTGCAGCTTATGAGGACTCCATCTGCCAGCAGAAGTGGAGAATCTAGTTCCATCTTAAACCAGTTTCACCATGATGTTCTGCCTCACCTTGGGCCCAGAGCAACGGACTCAGCAACCGTGGTTCAAACCTCTGGAACACTGAGCCGAACTAAACCTTTCCTTCTCTAAGTTGTTCATGTCGTGCATTTTGGTCACAGCAACAAAAAGCTGACTAACACAGATATTTTATGACAACAGGACTTCCGGTCCTGACCTCAGCATCGCCTCCCGGGGAGATGGACTGAACTTTGGGTGCTGCACGCTCATCTTGTCCCTCTGGCCTTCAGTTCACACTTAACACAACAGTCATTTCTTTAGTCTTCCTCCCTGGGCCATAAAAAGGCAGAGGCTGTACACGCACCAGTGGGCTGTAGTGGACTTCTCAATTAATTTGCTTGAGCAGCTCACAGAACTCAGGTAAATGCACTTACTGGTTTATTATAAAGGACGCAGATGAAGAGATGAATAGGGCCAGGTCTGGGGGAAGGAGCACAAGCATCCATGTCTCCTCCTGTCACACGGCCCTCCAGGAACCTCCATGTGTCAGCAACATCTCTGGTGTTCTCCTTTTGGGTTTCATGGAGACTTCATTATGTAGACATGATTGCTGAGAGACTGGGTAGGGAAGCCCACCCAGCATGGCCTGTCTATTTGTATTCTTCTTGGCCTCGCTGGGTGGCCTTCTTTCCTCCAGGGTCTGGAGCAGAAATCCTCTGGATTGAGAAGGTCTTATGACCCACTATCAGCCAAGGCAGGTCAGAGAATTTATGGCCAGCTAACGGCAGGAGAAGATTAGAGTTTCTACAACCTGCCTGGGGGTCTAAGCCAGAAACCAAGGACAAAAATGAAAACATCCGTATATCATAGTACCATGCGACCTCAGGATAGGACTGTGGTGGAATCCTTCAGTACCTCTGATAATCGTTTCTGAAGCTAGAAAGGGGAACGTATCTGTCAGAATGTTTTGCCTGCGGTACCAGAAACACAGACGAAAATAACGTATTCCACCCAGGAAGAGATTTCTTTAGGAAGTAAATTGGAGGAATCTTTTTTGATAGAACATGACCCCAAATTGTCCAAATTATATTGTTATATTGTGCATGTATGAATAGGTAGCAACAAATCCCATCGTTGTGTACAACTATAATTCACCAATAAAAAATGTGAAAAGGAAAAAAAAAAGTAACCCCAGAGAAAACATTTCTACAAACTGACATTTGTTGTTTATTCTGGTAAAAAAGCAGAGACTGGGCGCAGGGTCACACTGTTCTGAGGGCCATGAGCTGAAAAGTACCCCCTCACACACCACCGCTAGCCGGCTTCTGACGGCTTCACCTACCATCACGTGGAAATGGTGTCGCCAAGATTGACCTGGAGCAGCTCATAAAGGTCCTGTGCCTGGCACAATCTCCACACCACCTCCTCTGGTGCACTGGTGTTTTCCTCACCCCATAGCTAGGGCCTCCCTGGAGTTGGTAATAAGGAGCAAACTGAGGAAGAAAAATCCGGGGTGCGTCACAGGTGGTTTCACACCATATGCTGGCCCCAGCTGGACGCCACCTTAGGGCCCCACTCAGGACTGGGCAGGGAGGGGACGGGGAGGGAGTGCCCGCTGGTGGGCAGGGCTTCAAAGGGGATGTCCAATCGTCCACTCTACCAGGAAAGAGGGACTTCCAGAGGGAAAAGTCCATTTCTATGGATGGCTAATGGCTAATGATTCGGCCACAAGAGAATCCAAAACAAACAAAGCAGCCCAGAGTTAACAAAAACAATGACAAGAACAGAAGAAAACTAATAAAAGCAAAACTAGAGTTAATAAGAGAAAACAAGCCAGGTGCGGTGGCGTATGCCTGTAATCCCAGCGGATCGGGAGGCTGAGGCAGGAGGACGGTGAGTTCAAAGCCAGGCTCAGCAAAAGCGAGGCAGTAAGCAACTCAGTGCGACCGTGTCTCTACATAAAATACAAAATAGGGCTGGGATGTTGCTCAGTGGTCGAGTGCCCCTGGGTTCAATCCCCAGTATCCACCCCATCCCACCCCATCCTCCACCCCCCCCCCCAAAAAAAAAGAGAGAGAGAAAAAAACAAAATCAGGATGCTGAGACAAAAGAACAAAATTCAGGAAAGAGCTCTTTGAAATTAAAAAAAAAAAAAACAGGCTAACCAATTTTTAAAATTTAATAGAATTGTTGGATACTAATGTTGGTAGGACTCTTCCAGGATGTAGAACAGAATGAAGAACAGCAGTAAAATGTGAGAAAAATCAGAGAATTATTCCAAGAGGCACAAAATCCAGCAAATGGGTACATAGGGAGAGAATGGGTAAAGGAAAGGAGAAAACTGTGAAATAATGAAGGGATGTTTCGCAAAACTGTGAGATCTACAATTCCCGATTTAAAGGGCTACAAAGTCCAGTGTAATCATGAAGACAACCCCAGCCATCGTTACCATACAGCAAACATGAACTTCTATAAGCCGGGTAAAAGGCGGAGTTGGTTGGTTCTGGATAATCATCTTCAAAGACGTCCCTCACCGGGATGGAGAGGACCACGCACAGTTCTGCAAATATTCTTTTATCCACAACATCATTATTTCCACCCTTTTGCCCTTCAAATTCCGCTTCCTATAAAATAAGTCAACCCCTCCCCTCCTTTTTTGTAACAAAAATTGCCACATTCAGGAAACAGAGCCCATCTCTCCAAGGGAGGGTTTGGAGGCCTTCTTTCAGCTCCTCGGGCTCCACGAGTGCCCATGATGACCCTCAGCCCAGTCCTGCTCTTAGGTTCATAACTCAACTGGAATATAAAGGTGTCTTTCTTTGGAAGGGCTATTTTTCAAACTCTCTAATGAAAAAGCTCGGGAGGACTGCTGTCCACTCTCCCTCCTTCCCAAGCAAATAGCATTCCTCTGCCTGGAACAGATGGGGCTCTGTGTGACAAATAGCCCTGTGTTCCGGGGCAGCGATGGCGCTGGCGTCCTGTCCCCAGTGTTTATAGGCTGGGCTGTCCCTCGGCTCCCGTCGCCTTGGAGGAGACTGGAGCAGTGTTTGAGGCCCAGACAATGGAACAGCAGGGGTTAGTTCCAGCCGTTCCTGGTGACAATGGCGGGCAGGTCGAGCGTCTTCTAGGAGGGCCTCTGCACAAGGTGGGGGAAGGAGGGCCGCCCCTGCTCACTGCCCCTGGGGCTCGCTGACGTCACAGGCCTTGGCTGCTGCCGTTAATTACGGTGCCTGCGCTGGTTTTCCTCCTACAGAGACAGCTGTGACAAGGCGCCTCCCGGAGCAAAACCGAGAAGGCACACTCACCGCCATTCCTCCTCCTCCAGCTGCCAAAGAATCGCTGTGGGCATAAGTGAGAAAAGCATCTGTCCCTAAAGGAATGTCAGAGGTTTGCTGTTGTGGCGATTTCACCCTCAGGGTGTGGAGCTAGAACATGGTTAAACCTTGCCTCGAAGCCCCCTTTGGGCCAGTGGGTTGCCAAGGCAGATTCCTGTAATCCCAGCAGCTCAGGAGGCTGAGGCAGGAGGATCCCTAGCTACTTAGTAACGTCCTAAGCAACTGAGGGAGACCTTGTCTCAAAATCAAAAGTGGAAACAAACAAACAAACAAACAAAACAGGCTGAGAATATGGCTCAGTGGTTAAGAGCCCCTGGGTTCACTCCCTGATACCAAAAAAGAAAAGAAAGAAAAAATCTCCTTTGTCATGATCTTGCCAATAAGGGCAGACTTCAGATGACAGTGGCTGGTGGAAAGAGCAAAAGGGGCAACTTTTCATTCCTAAGCCTGCAATGCATTCCTAGGATGTTGCAGGGTCTTTGTGGGTATTATGGGTCACTTCAAAACCAATCACATTTGTGCATTTCTGGATGTAAATACCTTTGGGCACATTCGTTCCTTTCTGCCTCAGGCTCCTCATTCCTAGAAACTCCACTGAATGAGTACTCTTGCCAAGGGCTGAGTCCACCATCCTTAAACACTCAACAATGTTGACTGAGCTCCTATCACTTGTGAGCCAGGCTCTGAATGCAGAGTGGGGGGCGCTCTTGCTCTCAGGCAGCTTCCAACTGGCATCGTACCATGCCCAAGGAGCATGGGATCCAAGCTGCATGAGGTCTGAAGTACAATTCAGGGGCTCCAAAGGGGTATACAGGGCTGGGGTTGTGGTAGAGCGCTTGCCTAGCATGTGTGAGGCGCTGGGTTTGATTCTCGGCACCACACGTAGATAAATTAATAAATAAAATAAATGTTCATTGACAATTTAAAAAAACAAACGAAGAAGGAGAATAGAGGGGTTAAGGGGTAGTGTGATAGAGCATGTTCCTGGCATGTACAAGGCTCTGGACTTAATCTCCACACCAAAAACGGAAGAAAAGAAATTGAAAAAAAAAAAAACAGAAATTGTTAAAGAGGCCTAAGTGAAGGGCCTGGTCTTAAACGTCACGTTCTTTACAGTGAATCCTCTACTGGAGGAAGAGGTGCTCAGGATCTTTCCTCAACTTTATGAGTAAGAAAAAGGGCTTTTCCCTTCCAAATGGCTGATTCAGGTCAGTAAGACAAAGCAAGCATCGGGCAACTTATCAAACCTGCAGATTCTCAACAGGAACCGAGGGCAACCAGGGGGAAGTAGCTCTGCCCAGCCAGGGAGCAGCTCAGGTGTTGCTGGCAGGAGCCGCAGGCCACCCAGACATCTGCTTCCACCTAAACCAGGGGCAATCACCCGCCCCGCCCCCCACAAGCTTTTATTGTTTATTATAATCATAAGCCTTGCTTTTCTTAGGGTTTAGGTCCTTGCAATTTGGATACTTTTGAATTTCACTGCAGTTGGGTCTGGTTTAAAACTCTTTATGTGGCTTCTGTGACTCACCAGCAGAATAAGCAGGATGAGTGGATCAGATTGACATTTCCCAAATGTTTCTATGCAGCAGAAAAGAACTAAAGGATATATATTAATATTATGCAAAAAAGATACGTGAAGGTGTTAGCTAAGAAATGGTGGTTACCCCTTGGTTTGGATCAGTGTGACCCAAAGCCCCATGTATTGGAGGCTTAATTCCCACCCTGGGTACTATTGGGGGGTAGGAGAGTCTTTTGGAGGTGGAGCCTAGTGAGAGGAAGTTAGGTGATTAGGGTGTGCCCTTCAGACCACCCCTACCCATTCCTTTTTCTCTTTGCTTCCCATCCATTATTAGGTGAACAAGTTCCATGATATACTTAGTTCCTGTTGGCCTCAAAACAACAAACCGACTGATTGTGGACTGAAATCTCCAAAACTGTAAGCCAAAATAAACTTTTTTCTCTTTAAGTTGATCATCTCAGGTATTTTGTCACAGTAACGGACAACTGACTAATAACTGATTTCTTTACTCCTGGACTCTTCAGTAGGTTGCTCTGCAAGAGCAAATGATGTGTGCTTTTCTACCAAATGTGCTCCATTTGTTTAACTACTGTTTACTAGGTGTCTACTACATCCCAGACACTGTCCTTACTGTTGGGAATGTAGCACCGAGTGACGATGGGAGCACAGAATCTATTTCCTCCCCCAGAGGATCACAGAGGACAGTGTTTCATGACCCCACTTTGTTCTCTTCTTCCTTTTTACCTGTGTTTCCTCTGTAACATTTCACATGCTTTTTCTTGTCCCAAGGCTGTGACAATCTCTTTATTGTGCTGCTTCTGCCACCCACAGTGTCAGACTGTTCCTGATTGATGCTCATGAGTTATTGCCATTCCTTCTTCACAGGTACCATCCCTCACCCTCAGGACAGCTCTCCATAAAGCCGGGAAAGGGCATGTAATCTGCCCAAGGCCACAGTTTAAAAAGTGGATCTGGGACTTCAACTCATGTCTCTCTGGATCCAAAATCTGCTCCTATTACACCACGCTGCCCTCCTCCAGTTCCTCTGATGTGAGACCATAGTCTTCTTCAAGTTCCTCTTTCTCTAGAAGAGACTGTCAAAACCAGGCATGGTGGCGCTCCTGCAATCCCTGATTTGGGAGGCTGAAGCAGGAGGCTCAAAAGTTTCAAGCCAGCCTCAGCCACTCAGCGAAACCCTGTCTCAAAATTTAAAATAATGAGAGCAATAGAAAGAGAGAGAGATCACGAGGCAGACTGGTTAACACCTTATCAGCGACAGTCTCTGCACTGGGGACTCCTCAGTTAGGAGAGAGCAAGGTTCTCTGAGCCTTTGCCTGTCCTGCGTATTCCTCCTCAGGTCCTGCTAATCGGAACTCCTCAATGGCACTTGTCGTTCCCTTTTTGTGTTTGACAGCAACACACAATGAATTTTTAAAAATGCATGCCTTACGTGTTATTTATTGCTGGTGGTCTTATAAATCTATATTGTATTTTTTTGCAGGATTATTTGGCTCCCTATCAAAAATCATTAAAATATGTACATGTTTTGATTCATGGAGACTATTCCTGAGAACTGATCAGAAGGGAAATACATTTTGGAGAAGCTACGTATAAGAGAGTAGAACAGGGTCAGGAAGAGGAGGATCAGAGGAAGAACTGTGTCAAAATGCAGTTACCTGTGAGGAGTAGGTTCTAATGTGCTCCGCCTCACAGAAGGTGTCTACAGTCACAGCAATGTGTATTTTATACAGCACTCAAAAAGGGGTTCGAGAAAGGGGGAGGGAGGGAAGGGGGATGGGAATGGGAAAGACAGTAGAATGAACTGGACATGACTTTCCTATGATCATATATGAATACACAACCGTGAAATTCCACATCATGGACCACCACAAGAATGGGAAGTCATACTCCACATATGTATACTGTGTCAAAATACATTCTACTGACATGTATAACTAAAAAGAACAAATATAAAAATTTTCTGTGTGTATGTGTGTGTGTGTGTGTGTGTGTGTGTGTGTGTGGTCCTGGGGATTGAACCCAGGGCCTTGTGCATGTGAGGCAAGCACTCTACCAACTAAGCTATATCCCCAGCCCAAATATAAAATTTTTTAAAAATAAAAAAAGGAGTTTGAAATTTCCCATCACATAAATACTTGAAAAGGAAAAATAAGTATTCTGACTTGAGCATTGCACATTTTATACACATGTAATTATCACATCACACCCCGTGAATATGTCCAGTTATTATTTGTCCATTTTTTAAAAACTGTAGATAATAATATTTATAACAACATTAATAGGATTTTTTAAAAATCAGAGACCTAAAAAATAAGAATGTTGCTGGGCGCAGTGGCTCATGCCTGCAATCCCAGTGCTCAGGAGGCTGAGACAGGAGGATGGTGAGTTCAAAGCCAGCATCAGCAACTTCTAGGTGCTAGGCAACTCAGTGAGACCCTGTCTCTACATAAAATACAAAATAGGGCTGGGGATGTGGTCAGTGGTTGAGTGCCTCTGAGTTCAATCCCTGGTACCCCCCCCCCCAAACAAACAAACAAAACCCACAAACTTTCAGCAGTTGGGAGTAAGTAAATTTCATATGAATGAAGGGATATGATATAGCTATTAAATGATAAATACGATGGGTATGCCACTGAAACGAGTGAAATGAAGAAGATATGATTCCCTGCACAGTAGGATCCAACTATGTGAAATCAACATTCGTATATCAGCACAGATTGCAATGGGTTTCACAGCTATCAAATAAAACACACGGTTGAGTTGCTGTGAGGATGGGTGGTGATTTTCAGTTTATTAGGATCAAGGGGTGCTCTACCATTGAGCTACACCCTCAGACCTTTTTCTTTTATTTGAGACAGTTTGGCTAAGTTGCCCCACGCTGACCTTGAACCTGGAGATCTTCCTGCTTCAGCCTCCTGAGCGGCTGGGTTAGCAGGAGTGTACCACTGCACTCAGCGTTCAAGCTTCAAAGCTGATGAAATGGCTGATGGAAAGTTCTGAGGCAGCGTTGGAAGACTGGTCTTTTCCACTGTACTCTCGTTCACCCATAGGAGGCAATGGCTCTTTGGAGACCCTGCATCGGCCAGGTCCTGGCAGGGCACTGTGATACACGCCTTGAAACTAGCCACGCAGGAGGCTGAGGTCAGCCTGGGCAACTTAGCCAGACCTTGTTTCAAAATAAGAAGGACAAGGGCTGGAGAAGCAGCTTGCCAGGAGAGGGATTTCCAGCATGTTCCACCTCTGAACTCCGCTTTGGGGACCAACCCTCCACCTGTGAGCTTTTGGGGCACATTTCACGTTCAAGCCATAATAAACATCAAACTGGATGGTCTGTTCACAGAGAGGAACTTTGAGCAGAGCAGCACAGTACTCACGGGGAGGTAGATCTAGGTTCTCCCTGAAAACATGAGAGCTCGCATAATTTCCCCTCCCTAAATTCCTTTTCAGATCAACTCCACCCATACATTGCTCACAGAAATCCTTCTCTGATCAACTCAAGAAACAGAGCATTTTAATGATGAGAGAATAATTGTCTATAACTGACACATTAGGATCCAAACGTTCAATGTTCAGCAGAGCTGTTAAGAAAACCTTTTCAAAATTCTTTTTCACACAAACAGCTCATCAGCCCCGAAGTGGGCATGACTGATCTAGCCCCAAGACACTCCGAGGCAAGACTCTCGCCTGCAGAAGTCCTCTCAGAGACATTCCAGAAGGATTGTGCATCCTACACAGCAGCAGGGAAGGGTTTGGCCAGAGTGGGAGTCAACAGCTGTCTAGTGAAGCATCTCATACTTGAAAGCTAGTGACATTGTCCCTGGAACTCCGGGAAAGGATGAATGATGGAGTTTTACCCCTCGGATAACGATGGATTTCTCCAGGATACCAGAATTCCTGAAGTTGGAAAGAGGAAAGTTTGCGATTAAATCATGAAACCGGAAATACTGAGGTCCTTGGCAGAAGAAGGGGTGGTGGTGGTGAATACTTCACTAAATTCAAGGGTGTGCCTGTCCATCATTCATCAGGACCATGCGTCACTCGGGCTTCACCTACAGGAGAAGCGGAGTCAGCCTCGGGGAAGAGCACCCTTGTCTGGATACACCCCCTGTGAAACTCAGGTTGAAATCACCTCTTTGTAGGATTAGTCAGGCTCCTATTGTTCTTAAGATGAATGTCCCATTCATTCAGCTCTGTGACCACTGAAGTCTCAGAGTGCTAACTTAAGGCCATGCAGACTTAATGATCTCCGACTGGATCTCCGCAGTAGGCAGCATGCGGTACTCAACTGGGAAGAAGAGCTATTTCTTATGGGGAGAGAGGGACCTGCTATCCACATGAGTCTATAAGGACACTCGAAACAAATACAATAAATGGCTATTGTGTTGGTCAAAGTCCTCCAAGAATCAAATGTCAAATCAGGATTAAATGGGCAAGGATTTTATTGGGGGGAAATGAGGAGAAACGGGGGTAAGACCTGGAGATCCATTGCACCACCAGGAAAATATGACCCGAGGTGACGAAGGGATGGAGGAAAGGTTGGGCAGGAGAGCCCTGCACTACTGTGAAGTCAAACAAAGGCCCAGCAAGGCCACCCCAGCAGCCCTGGCGCCCTCCTCTGTGCCTGGCACCTGGCACCTTGAGAGGCAGTGTCTCAGCACAACACTGGGTAGAGCTCAAGGCCCGCTGCTGGGTCCTGGTCAGTCACACTCCCCAACTTGGAGGCCTTTGAGGCGTAGCCTTGTGGTTGTCCCAAAGCTGCCTACAAATCAAAATGTCACTCATGCTGAGAAGAGGGTGGTCTGTGGTTACGAGGTGAATCAAGTGTACGCCGGGAATCTATGAAAAGCAAAAACAAAAGCCATGACTCGGGAGAAACAAGAAAGGGAACAGAGAAGTGGGGGACTCCGATTCTCCCCCTGACTGTACGAGCACAGTCTACCAAGGTGCTGACTCGACCCACAGATCCAAGCCAAACACACCAGCTGTCTGACCACAAAAGTCGAGATTCATTGACAAACACCAACAATAGTTACGGTTTGGACTTCAGCCTCAATATACGGGGAGACCGGATTTTAGCAGATGTTGGATTTTAGACAATTTACCCCAAAGAAAAATCCATCTGTTTGACTCTATTGCTCTAAATGGAGTGTGAATAAATTCGTGCCAAAGTCTTGGATATCTGCCTATTTATTTTTTATATGCCTTGACTAATGAAATACAGGCTGAAATATCTGGCTGAGGCAGATCAGTAGAATCATGAGAAACACAGGAAAGAAAAAAAAAGACCTCAAAGAAATGGAAATTTACTACATGATAAAGATGGCACTCCTAATTAGTAGGAAAAGGGTCGTTTAATAAATTGTGCTGGAGCACCTGGTAGCCATATGGGGAAAAAATGAGTTTGGATTCTTACTTCATGGGTTACACCAGAATGATCTGAGGAAGGATTAAAGAGTTAAATGTTGAAAATCAAGGTACTGGTGGGAGAAATTTAAATCCTTTTTGAGTGGCACAGGACTTCCAAAATGTTCAGCAAAACTCAGATGCCATGTTAACTCAGAAATAAATTTGAAAATAAATAAATTAATTAATTAATGGGTCATGCATGGGGGAAAAAACCACCTTAAACAAAACTCAAAAAGAAAAAAAAAACTATAAAGGAAATTTTGCAATTCATATTGCAAAGGCTCAATTTATTTAAAATATAAAGAGATCCTACAAGTGAATAAGAAAGGCCATTAGCTCAATAGAAAAATGGGCAAGAGATGAATAAATATGAAAAATATACACATGGTCTTGAAAGATTTAAAAAGTGCCAAATTATGCTAAAAAGTGAGAAAATAGCATTTCCTGATGAGCTAGTTTCTACTAGTTGGTAGAGATCAACAACAGGCTGCCTCAGCGTGGTCTGCCGGACACGGGCACCAAGATGGGATCCGACAGGCAGAAGACGGGTGGGGAGAAGAGAGGAAAGAGCAGAAGGAAGCTGGAAGAGTCAGAGAGACCAGGGTGGGGACCTGATCCCCAGAGAGCGTGGCTGGGTTAATAGTCCTAGAGCTGCACTCACCTACCCGAGGAGTCCTGGATCTTGCAGAACGGCCCCTCCTGAGCATCCGGGCTGCCTTCCTTGCCTGGCTGGGAGCAGACTGTGGGAAGCCGGGTCTCTTGTGTGCACAGTGGTGGATTCCGAACACAGCAGCGGTTACATTTCCTGCAGCAAAAAGTCTCAGTGGCTCCTATTCAAGGCCATCACACATTCTTTGTGAGCAGAGACAGAGGAACTAGACTTCTCCCACATTGCTGGTGAGAGGGTAACTTGGAGTAACCTCTGTGGAAGGCAATTGGTAGTGCTTTAAACATTTTCAACATACAAGCCATTTGAGGCAGAAATTCTACCTCCACCAACTTTTCCTAGAGAGATATTTTACTTGTGTAAAGTTGTACATCCAAAGGCTGGGGATATAGCTTAGCGGTACAGTGCTTGCCTATCATGGGAGGCCCTGGGTTTGATCCTCAGCACCACAAAATAATAATAATTAATAATTAATTATAATTAATAATATTCTTGTTGTTATTAAATTGCATGTACAAGAGTATTCACTCTGGCATTGTTTGTAATAGTTAACACTGGTAACCACAAATGTGCACACTTAATGCACAATTAGTTAAATAAATTATAAATATTATATAACTATAAGTAAGGAAGAAGGAAGTTCTTCATGTACTGATAAAACAATTTGTAAAGCAAGGTGAATATTAGTACAAATGTTTTGCAAAAAATGTAGATCAATTTTTTTTTTTTTTAGGCCATGGTGCTTTTATTTAAAGAGGGGATATAAATGTACAAACTTGTAATATTTCTGAAAGGGGCCATGAGAAACAGGCATTTTTACGGATCTATACTTTTCAGCATCATTCTTTCCTTTTGCATTGTGAATTACATAAATTCAGAAAATGAATCTCCTACCTGTCCTGTGTTGTGAGTATCGTACACACAGACAGGGACACCTCTGTGGGCTTGCCTGCTTGTCCAAACTCCAGGTATACCTCTGAAAACAGACACCCCATGGCCACACCTCAGAGTGGTGTGCTTGGCCCAAGGAGAGGTGGACACGAGAGAGATCCCTGGGGACTCTGGAAGCGGTGTGCAGTCCATCTGGGAGTTTCTGGGTGTCTGCCACCTAGACCATAGTCAAGAACAGGACTGCGGATATGCTTGATGGGTCCAGTCAGCCAGGGTCCATGTCCCAGAGTTCCCTTCTCCCTGTGTTCCTCGTGAGAATTTGTCAGTGGAAAGGAACCAGGCCACTTTTTTCTAAGTCACACACATGGCAGCCAGTGTGCTAGCTCACCGCCCGGTCAGGACGCAGCGGCCAGCCACTGCTCTGTCTCCAGCTTCTTCGGCCTGGGCCAGATATATGTGTTTAGCCCTGAGACAAACAGCCTTGGTTTCGGCAGGGTGCCCACCCAGAAGTACCCCTTTATCAAAGGTCCCCAGACAGAGTCTGCTGACGTGAGTTTCAGTTGTCCTCACAAGGGTGTTGGCTCTTACCAGTGACCAGCGCTGGCTCTTGCCACATCCACATCCACCCATCTGCTCGCTCCCTGGACTTCAAGGCACCACACAGGGAGACCACAGCCACAGAGAGACTCCTTCATCACTCCCACAGCTATGAAATGTCGGGTCCCTGCGGCAGCTCTCAAACAATCAGTCAATCAATGGTCTACCTATCTGTGAGCGTATACGGGTATAAACACAGTATGTCAATACCTCCCTGTTCCGACTGTCTCTGTGATTCCCCTTAAACACCCCTTTATCAAAGGTCCCCAAACTCCCCTCTAGTTATCCTAATTTCAGGGGCCATTGTTTCGTCTTTGGAATCTCTGTCGAAGAGTCAGATCCAAACACACTCCGTTCTGTTCAGAATCCTCACTGTCTTCCAATGTCTAAGTGTGTCTGGTCTCTTTCTCCTTAGAAGGGGCTTGGCCCTAGGGGCTCTTCAGCTCCACCCCACACAGGCGTCCTTCACAGAGGTCCTCGAGGTTTCTAGAAAACACTGTAGATGCTCCCCTGCTCCAGCAGGGCTGAGGCTAAACTCTGGCTGCCCTGTAGGTTAATCTACGTGGAGTGCTCGCTGGCAGTGTGGAACTGGTCCTGAGGAAGCATTCTTCCTCTTCCGACCAGAGAGACACTATGACTGTGATAACGCAGCTCCATATGGGATCTTATGTTACTGTGTTAGGCACCAATGCAACTCCCATGCTCCCGGTTTGCGGAGATTCTGCACCTCCTACACTTTAGGGAATATTCACTAAAAAACATAAATCGAACTCACCTTATCAAAGAAATACTAAGAAACAAATGCCGACTTCGTTCTTATCTAAGAACTTTCTTTTCATCTAAAAGCACACTTTGGGCTTTATATAAGTGAATTGTGTTTTATGATATTTGAAACTTCTGTATCAAGGTCACGCTCATGTGTTAAATACCAACTTGTGTCTGATCGTGAATTATTGACAACAGTCACTTAAAAACTTAATTCGCTTCTCACTGGGCTTACAAATGACCTACTTCACGGGCTTACAAACAACCTATTTCAGGCTCATTGTGCATGATTTTGTTTACAAAACTGTGTTTTTTTCTTTTGTGAGTAATTACCTATTTGTAGTATTAAAATATCTCTTATAAAATGTATTTGTATTTATTTTTAGAACACTTTATTATGAAATACTTTTAAACATTTATAAATCAAGAGAAATAAACCCCCAAGTAACAGGCACTTACATTATTGAGCCTGGGCCACTCTTTTGCATCATTTATTGCAATTTGCAGCATAAAGCAAATCGAAGACGTCATTATTTGCTTTTAATCTTCCTCCAAATGACATTTAATTATACCACGAAAATACTATATCACACCTCAAAAAGTTAAGTACTTTCTTAATCATCATCTAATCCTCAGCCGTATTTAATTTCTCTGTTTGACCCCCAGATACCTGCTTCTCATCAGTCCAACACTCTACACAATACATTTGATTAAGTTTTGTATTAAAAACTCCTGCAGGAAAATTTATTATCACTCCTCTCTCTTTCCTTCAAATATATGAAGGTATTTGACTTTTTACAACAACGATTCCATAGATGGCGGAGGCAATAAATATACTTATATAGCTATAGCTTTTTAAGGTCAATAGGGGCTTGAACTCTGGCTCCATCTGAGAAGCCATTCACACAACCAGGGAGTTTCTGGGGAGCCTCACATGCTGCCTTGCAGACTATTTTTGGACACGCGCCTGCCGGCTGCCTCTACTAAGCCTGGCTCCCTCCACACCAACATGAGATGCCCTTGTGCAGAAGGGAACAGTCGTATTTCCTGCACTCATCTTGGACTTTTGGCGAGAGCTTTCGCAACACTTTCTAGAATTACAAAGCTGTACCTGCAGCACTACCTGGAAAGCAGCCCCAGCGAGCAAGGGAACCCACCATCCGTCAGCAGGCGCCTCGTGTGGAAGCCTGAACTCCTCCTGGTGCACCAAAGGCACCTTCCCTGGAGAAAGATTTGGCAAGTTACGTTTTCCTTTCATCTCCGAGACCACGTAGGAGACAATGCAGCCCATGCAGGCAAAGATGTGCAGAGTGTATAACAAGGTCCGGGGGGTGAGGAATCCTAGTTCAAAGGAGCAGGGTGAAGGAAAGGGGTCTTCTCTCTGCCAAGAAAAAGGAAACAGTGTTTAAGCTTCAGCCGCCTTTGACTCAGTCCTCACTGAGCTGGGCATGAGCAGACCGAACACGCTCAGTGAGGCTGGAGGAGGCAGGAGTAGGGGCAGGGAGAGTTCCTCTTGGGTTTTCTGATGCTCCACTTGGCTTACAGAGACTTGTTTGGCTCTTGGTTTTTGAGGCTGAAGCCCAGGAACACAGTGGGACATCTGGTGAGGGCCTGGGTGCTGTATCCTCATACAGCAGAGCAAACAGGTGAACTCCGCCGCTCTTCCTCTTCTTACAAAGCCACCACTGCCATCATGAGGATCCCACCCTCATGACCTCACAGGATCCTAATGACTCCCCCAAACCTCCACCTCCAAAACCAGAAGCTTGTGGATAGGAGGATTAAGTTTCAGCGCTTTAGGGAAAACTGTTCAAACCATGGTGGGGGGGGGTGAGTGGTGGAAACTCGCATCTCCAGGGGCGTGGAGCAAGGACACCCTGGAGGCTGGCCAATGGGAATTGCAGGGACAATCCGCTAGAGCCTTTCTCCACCAGCTGCATCAGAGAACAAACAGGTCCTAATGACCCACGGCATCCATCATATGCAATGAATGAACTTCCCGCCTGTAAGTTCATTCAGAGTGGAGCTTTGTGTCTGTCAACGTTGGGAGAAACAAGAACAGAGTCCCTCAAACCACCTTCTGTGATCTGTAATTCAGAGGGAGGAACACGGGTTGGAAAAGTCTTCAGAGCGTCAAGTAAGGAAGGGTGGACAGAGGGCCCGATGGGGAGGCTGAGGCAGAATGTCTCGAGCTGAGGTCAGTAAGGCTGCTTTGAGTCTCCAGGCCTGCGACCTCTAAGGAAAGGAGTTTTAATGAAATCCTTGTGGCGTCTGCAGGGGTTAACATCCTGGGTGCTGCTAAGGAGGGGGAGGATTGACTGGGACACCCTCATTCAAAGCACCTGCCTTAAGGCAGCACTTGGGGGGCTCTGCTTTTTGTTTTTCTCAGTATTGGGAATTGAACCTAGGCACCCTCTACCCCTGAACTACATCCACAGACCTTTTTATTGATTGATTGATTGATTGATTGAGACAGGGTCTCGTTAAGTTGCCCAGGTTGGCCTCAAACTTGTAATTCTCCTGCCTCATCCTCTCTAGTAGCTGGGGTTACAGGCATGGGTCACCGTGCCCAGCTGGTAGGGGACTTTTTTTGGATCACCTTCAGTGCCATGAGAACAGGGCAGTCTGGCTTATCTTCATTCATACTCAGTTTGTAATCAACCGATATTTCCCACTAAATCCACCCATTTTACCTCCATACTTAATCGCAAATGACTTACAGCTACGAGAACAAGCCTATCTCCTGGCTTTGTTACTAAGTGGCTAAGTGACCTGAGCTCTGTGATCTAATATCTCAAGTCCCCGTTTATTTGTCCTAAGCAAAGTGTTTGGATTCAGTGATATCTAAGATCCGCT